GTTTTGAGAGAATTATTGAATGATAATTGCCACTGCACTCAGTGACACACGTGAAGTAGAAAGAACACGTCTTCACCAAGTAGTACGTACAGTATGATCAAATTTTGCAAACACGGCCCTCCCTGGTGGTGCAGCGGGTTAAAGCACAACACAAAGAAGCTTAAACCACTTCCTCATGAGTTCGATCCCCGCCTGCCCAGGAGGTGACCACATGGCGCGGCAGACCTCTCCTGGCCCGCCCCAGCCAAGGACCAAGCACGGTGGCCATCAGGGCTGTCATTCTGCCCTGCACAGGGCTCTACCAGTCTGTGCTGGAGCTCCAAGCCGTCAAAGTTCTCTTAGAGACGCCCCCACCCCAGCCCCTCAACCCTCCGTCCTTCTTCCTCTGCCCTGTCAGGTGTTGACTGGACTCGTGGAATTTCCGCATTCCTTCCGAGGCCTGAGCTTTGCCCCTTTGTACTACCGTGGTATTCTGAATAAGTCAATTAAACTTGAATTTGAACTATCTTGGCTTTTGCTTCCCAAGGGCCTGTACTGGCTCTGATATGTTTCGATGTATCTGCTTTTCTAATTTTTGTTAATTAAAATGAATTGTCATTGAAAAGCATATTTTCTTTTACTTGAAACCTAAGTATACAGGTGACCTTTGAACAATGCAAGGGTTAGGGGCACGCCGATCCCCCACAGTTGAAAATCTGTTTATAATTTCACTTCCCAAAACTCTACTAATAGTCTGTGGTTGAGCCCAAGCCTTACCAATAACAAATAGTTGATTAACACTTACTTTGTTTGTTACATACAAAATGTGTATAGCCTGTGTGTTATATGGTATACCCCTACAATAAAGTAAGCATTTAAAATCATAAGAGAATCTACATTTATAGCACTATACTTACTTAATGATAAGTTTATATTGTGTTTACAAAATCTGCATGCATGAGACCCATGCAATACAACCTGTCCTGTTCAAGACTCAAATATACCCAGGTGATATCGCTATCCTCAAATATGCTCTGCAAATTTGAAGCCCTGTGGATCATGGGCTTTATTTGCTTCACAAAAACTGGGTGTGACATTTACCTACAACAGTTGATCTCACACCCCATGAAGAGAGAGCTTTTAGCAGCAGCAAAGCTTCCTACAACACATAAACAGCAGGTTGGTGGCACCCTCGCTGGGGCCCAAATGAGATAATTTAGGGCAACTCTTAGCTGGTGCTCCACAAATACCAGCTATTATTACCACATTATAATGATCTAGCTCAATACTCTTTCAGCCATCCAAAAGGAATTGATTGTGCACTGGACAAGCTATAAGGGTGAGCAGAGAGACCGGGTCCCCGCCCTCCCAGAACTGACAGTCTAGTCCGTCCGTGCACACCCAATGACCTTGGAAACAGAAGGCTCGGTTCTCACTCAGGACTCGGAGTGATCACCGCTGATAACACTGGAAGCTCTTTAGGGGCCGCAGTAACTGAGTGGTCACTCGGGAGCTTCGGGTTGAGATGTGGTTCTGGCCAGCCCAGAGCAGAGCTTGTCCGCATTCCAGACCCACTGCTTCCTAACTACAGCCATGTAGGCAAGTTCTTTCCTTCCTCTGTGCCGCAGTCGCCTCATCTGCACAAAGCTTTGAGGGAATGAAATGTTGCTCACATGTGGAGGGTAGGGAATGGTGCTGGACTGGAGCAGGACTAGCTGGCTCCCGTTGGAGCTCACTAACCAGCAGTCCCGACACTGACCCCAGCGGGCTTTTTCCCTGGGAACAGGGAAAGCCAGGCAGGCCTCCTTCATACTGAGGGAGAAATTCGGGCAGTCAGGCCAGTTCAGCAGCAGCAGAGTGAGCAAGGCTGTTCCCCCCTCAGAGGTGCTAATTCTGAGGAAGGCAGGAAGGCTTCCCTCACACAGTCGTGTGAGGCTCGTAAGTCGTCCATTGCTCTGGTATATGTAGAACGAGGACGTGGGTGTAGCCTGGAGGTCGGGAACAGGGAGGCAGTTCAGAAATCCCTGCGACATGCAAAAAGAAACATTGCCCTCATAAAGGAGTGCCTGTGAGGTGATGCCCAAGAGCGCTGTTAAGTGCAAACAGCAAGGCACTGGCAGCGCGCTTCTATCTGCAGGGTTTAAAGACGCGCACGCCTGGAGCTTTGCACTACGGTAGCAAGTGTCTCTGGAGGGCACACCTGTGGCGGGTACTCAGGGTGGGAGGGCTGCCTCCATCTCACCGTGTGCTTGTTTGCCCCTTTTGAATTTCGACCATTTTGTAAGAGTAAGCAGAGACTGGAGCTGATTCAGAAACCAGCACTACAGTTCATCCTGCCTGTTCAACATTTTTTGTTGAGGCTCTCCATGCAGATGGCCAGGTTGGGTCGGGGCCAGTGGGCCGCCGCCCTCCCTTGTGGGTGTGTGGGGAGCCACGTGGGGCCCTGTGGTAGGCACATGCCTCCAGCTGGGCCTTCTGTGTGGCAGAAGAGCCGGGGTGTGGGGCTGAGATTGAAGCGCGAGTCCAGCGGCCTGGCAACGGCAGTGTACCTCACACAAGGTCATGGTCTAGGATCTGGGTCTGGCCTGGGCAGCTTTCCAGGGCAGAGACTCAGGACACAAAGACTCATTGTAAGCACCACGCAAGGGCTTCTTCGAAGCTGCTTCTCTCCATTCACGGTGTAGTTCCAAAATGAAGCTTGGGACCAGAGCAGCCCAAGGTTCAGGAAACAGATTTGGAGCGGTACGCGTTTCCTGGCTTGGTCTAGGCATCAGTGGGATGGAAAGAGCCCAAGGGACCCCAGGTTAATTCTTCATCCATCTGCTTGGCTGAAATATAAAGGCTCTTTCCAGAGCTCCCCCTGAAGTGGCTCTTCAGCTCTGGGACACACACAGCATTGTGTGTGGGACATTCCCTGCAGCCAAGCAAAAAAATGGTAGAAAGGCCCTTTCAGTTAACTGCAAAATAAGCAGGGCTCTGTCCAAAGACAAGGGCCCTTTGCCTCATGGCCCCCTGGGAATCCACGGGCTGGCTGACACCGTTTACTGCCCGTAGGCTACTGGATAAAGGCTTTTCAAATTCCTTCAGTAAATGATTCTTTCACACATATAGAAAATGTATGTAGGCAAACATGTTAAACCAAATATCCTTTACATTCAGACACATGCACACACATGTTTTTATTTAGCTACACTCTTGACTAAGTAAGATATACACGAGGCAAATCAAAGGTTTGCAGTGACTTACAATGTTGCAGGGATAATAATACAGACTCCTTTCATTGTTTCTCCAAATCTGGGTCACCATGAACTTCAATTAAGTTTTTCTATCTATAGATGGTAACGTGTAATTCCTTTTATTTTTTTTAATGCGACTCATTCATTCATTTATCAAGCATGTGGGGAACCCCTGTCCTGTGCCAGGCACTGTTTTGTGATATAGCAGTGAACAAAGTGGGCAAAGAAGTTCGCTTTCCAGTGAGTAGGGAGGGCATTCGCTTTGCTGTCCAGGAGGACTTCTTGGGGTAGTGACTGTTGAGGAGAGACCTGAGGACTGTGAATATGGAGTCCTTGGAAGTTGGGGGAATAGGTTCTAGATGGAGAAATGGCAACTCCACTGCCCACTTTAGTCCCACTGAACTTACTTGGCAAAAACCAGTCTCCTTAGACCCAGCTTCCCACACCCACATTTGTGCAGTTAGAGGGAAGCATGCCAGTGTGTTGGCTAGCCCAGCTGATAGTGGGGGGGTGGGGGTGTATGTGTGAAGGAGGAGGCAGCATCAAGGCTTATGGGTCTAGGTGGCTGCCCAGCTAGGGCGGAAAGAAAACAACTTGTACAAGAGGACCTGGCTGGGGTCTGTGGCTCCTGCACCAGGGTTTCAGCTGTTAGAACTGGGCCCCCAGGAAGTGGCTCTGAACTGTCATGTGTTCCCCGCACTTTTTCAGTTCCATCCCCAGTCCTGGGGGAGGAGGGTGGTGGTCAGGACAAGTGGGCTGATAGATGTCCTTATCCCTGGGTTACTAATCAATGCGGGTTAAAAATCCCCATAGGAACGAGGAGCCACCAAGGCAAGAGTTTTTATTGCTTCACTATAACTTCAAACGTGCGCTCTGGGGAACTCTGTCCTTTCCCCCTTTCAGAGGACTTGGAGTCCTGAGCATGCTGCTGACCACATTGGCGGTGACACTTCCCTCTTCTCCTCTTGTCTCCCCACCTGGTCAGCCCACCGCTACCGCCCCGTGCACCAATCGTGCACCTTAGGCTGGTCAGTCCGAGCAGAGGCGGCCTCGAGCGGCAGCGGGAAACTGAGGCACGGTGGGCTCGGGGCTCGAGGCATTCAGACTCCCGTAGACTCCAAGCTGCCCGCCTCAGGCCCACCAACGAGCTGGGCACGGAGGTCCCAGCCCAGCGCTGCCCCGGGCGGGGCCGTACGGAGGCCCGGAACCGCTTTGGGACTTGCGGGGGCCGACGGTGGCGGGGCACCCGCGCGTAGTTCCCAAGCCCGAGCGCG